GAGGAAGTAGTAGAGAGACGTCCCCAGTGTGGTCTACCAGGCTGGGTGTCAGACGACACCATCAAACTAAGGGATGAAAGGGATAAGGCTAAGAAAGAATTTACCAAAACCACCAAATCAAAAGAAAAGTGGAGAGAGCTTAACACCAAACTGAATGACTCCTACTCCAAAGACAAGCTAGACCATCTCAACAAGCAGATGGAAGAACTGAAAAGTGCTGATGAAGCTGGCAACTACACCACCACTTGGAAAATAATCCATGATCTATCGGGAAAGAACAATAAGATGAGCCCCAAAGTGAAGAAAAGGGATGGSTCCGCTCYCTCTAGTGATGTTGAACKTTTAGAGGAATGGAGACAATRTTTTAGCTCCTTGTTGAACAACAATAATGGCACAATCCTGGGAAATCTTCCACCACCAGCAGAACAAGATCTACCTATTAGTATAGATCCCCCAACTCGCGAGGAGACCAGGAATGCAATAAAACAAATGAAATGCAACAAGGCAGCAGGTTTCGACAGCGCTATCACCGCAGAAGCACTAAGTGGTGGTGGCAACCCCATGGAAGAAGTCATTCACGGTTTTTGCTCCGAAGTGTTTACGACCTGGACTCCGCCAGACCAGTGGATCACTAACAGCATTGTCCCTGTGCCAAAGAAGGGGAATCTAACTCTGATGACTAACTACAGCGGAATATCGCTTATGTCTATAGCTGCTAAAGTCTATAACAAGATTCTACTGATCAGAATTAAAGACCACATAGATCCCACCCTGCAGASTAACCAAGCAGGATTCCGGAAAGGCAGGAGCTGTGCACAACAAATTCACATTCTGCAGAGGATCATGGAGGGCTTCAAAGATGGCCAGCTTCCACTGAACATCACGTTCATAGATTTTAAAAAGGCGTTCGATTCAATAGACAGAAAGGTTATGTTTGCTATTCTTAGACACTATGGAATCCCGGAAGCATTTGTTAAAGCCATTTGCGCACTGTACGTGAACACCAGTAGTACTGTGATGGTTAACGGATGCATATCTGAACCATTCGATGTGACCAYCGGAGTACTGCAGGGTGATGTCCTAGCACCATTCCTCTTCATTATCCTAGTTGATTATTTGCTAACGAAAGCAACAGATGGAATCGACACAGGAGTGGTGACACATCCTCGCCGGTCCAGGTGACACCCAGCAAAACAATTAAATGATCCTGACTTTGCTGACGACATTGGCCTACTCGAATCCACAAGGTCCCGGGCACAAGACCAGCTGACAAGAACAGCAGCAGCAGCAAAAGAACTAGGTCTCATCATAAGCGTCCCGAAAACAGAATACATGACCTTCAACTRTGACCAGCATCCACCTCTAAAAGTGTATGGTGAACCAATCAGACATGTACAAGATTTCAAGTACCTGGGCTCAATGATGGCATCTAGCTCAAACGATTTAAAAAGACATTTGGGGCTAGCATGGAGCGCGTTCTGGAGTCTAGAGCATCTCTGGAGGAGCAACAAACTGCCCGTCAAGATCAAGGTGAAGTTGTTCAACACAACATGCATCACAGTCCTCCTCTATGGGTTTGAATCCTGGGTAATAACAAAAGCCATGGAGGACAAAATCAACTCCTTCGCAACATCCTGCTTAAGAGTTATGCTCGGAGTCAAACGAACAGACCGAATCCCAAACACAGAGATACACGCCAGGACTGAAACAAAACCATTGATTCAGAAAATTATAACCCGTCAGCTGAAATTTTTGGGTCATATCCTGYGACTCCCCGGCAAGGAACCCGCCAAGTGCTATGCTCTATACATCCCACCACACAGAAAGAGGAGACCAGGCCGACCTCGAATGTCATACCTTAAATACATTCAACAGCGGCTGGGGGATGGCGATGGCTCTCTTCGGCCTGACCAGATTGCTGTCATGGCGCAAAACCGGGTGCAGTGGAGAGGGACCGTGGTCGCCTGCGCTGCAGGCGAATGATGATGATGATRATGAGTTACTATAGCAACAAGGGCAGTTTACAGGAAAGTGAGTGACTGACTGAGTGAGTGACAGATCGTTCACCTACAATAACTATTTGATTGCTAACGCAATCGCCGATTTAAAAATAAGAAAAATAGAATGAAGAAAGGCTAAAAACAACAGAGTGAGTCGGCCAGAGATGAAATTGACATAGCAGACAACATAGCAGACATAGCATTTCACACATGTAGACTTCAAAGTCTGAGGTTTGTCAATATCATAGAAGTGTTTGGTCATGTGTCCATGTAGTAAACAAAAAGGTCCTTATTGAATTTTTATACAGAGATGCTGCTGTTCCTTAGGATAGGAGAATGTTCCATATGCACRGAGCTCTACATTCACTCATGGTTGTGTTCAAATTGTTATGAAAGATGGTAAATTGTGAATTAAAACTTAAGTTTGATATTGTTTTTACCCAACAACCTGGGATAATAATGTGTAGTTGCTTATCAACTAGTGATTATATCATATAATCACTATGTTGTCAGTCAGTTAACAAAATATAATTATTGACATTATAAAACTTATTAATAATGCATAAGCTATTGCTCCAATAAGGGCTGACCATTTAATCAGGTKATTGACACGGTCGTCACCATTGAGACAACCCAACACTAGCAAAGGTCTCATACACCTTCACTAGGTTTTGAAGCAATCTGCGGCTCAAGATTGTAATTCCCATACAACACGGCTGCTCATGTTGTAAACTATACTTACAGTATATGATAACAAAAATTTCAAGATGAACCTGATATAAACAAAATGCACTTTTGTCATTGTCTGGAGCCCCATCTTGGGACATTTGACAACTAAACAGGTCCCCAGATATGGAATTTTTACTGGATTTGGTCAAATRTTTCATCCTGACAGTTGGTCTTTTTACAGAGAAAAGAATAAAATGTCTAATCCTCACCCCTTGCACGCGCCTCAACATTTATAGGTGCATTATTGGGCACTTATAATCCCCATGGGTTGAATGAACACTTTGTTTTCAGATAAGTTTTATATCTTTTGTTCCCTTTTTAGCACTTTATTGTTCTTTTGTCTAACACGTCTCTTGCTTTTATTGTTTATTTCACGTTACGAGATGCATTGAAATCGGGTGAAATTTGACAACCTCTTGCRCAAAACTCAAGGTTTTTATTTTATTAAATTGTCAATCTCCAAAGTTTTAAATTTACCAATTTTCCTTGAGGATCTATGGGCGGTTCCATTAGCATGTTCATTCAACTAAAATTTCATATGTTTAGAAGGTTTCAGTAGGGGGAAATTGTAAAATATGGATCATTCACAAATACAGGTCAGTGATTTGTCCAATCAAGTGTCAAATTTTGATACAAGAGGTTGTTGCCGTGCTTTACAGGTAGTTAATTACATAGACCTTGCTGCTTTCAGTTTAACACAAAAAAAAAGAAATTTACTTGCCCTACTTGACACTTGATGACTCATGTTTTGTTTGTTTCCCAATAATCTCAATTTTTCTAGAAAATTGACAGAACCCATATTTTCCTGTGAGTTCCTAATCCCAGCATTTGCTTTTAAATCAATAAACAGTCAATACTATTCTAGTTGAAAATGCTTTTTATATCCCCGCAAAGGATTCTGATTTAACTAAGTTAAAAAAAATCTAGCTGGCAAATTAACTTGTTAAGCTTATTGACATTGTCATATAATTTTAGAAGTTGAGGTTGAATAATCTTGCAAACAAAAACAAATATGATATATGCTAAAGTCGTTAGTTGYTTATAACTGAACTTAAGCTATCTAATGACACTGACTGTTATATAACGTATTATTATTATTTTTCTACGCTTCATAAAAACTGGACAGTCACGTGCATGAAAAGAGAGAACCACTTCCAATTACGAGTTCAATTCAATTCGGAGCTAAATTATGACCCTCCCCACAAAAGTATCAACAATATCCATAAAAGCAATAGATTTAAATCAGATGAAGCATTTCCTTTGAAAAGGATTTTTTTTCAAATTGCTTAAAGTTAATTAACTTAAGTCTTAACTTATATTCCGTGTCGATTTTTGCACGAAACTGGATAAAATACGCATAGTAAGATAAGATTTTTAATACGTAACTAAATGATAAATGTGAAAAATATATTCTAATACCTTCATAATGTTGCAGCATCGTAAATTATTCCCAAGGCGAGAAGACACAGGCAAAAAACGAGGGAGACCCCTCAACAACATGCCAGCCATTTTGTATTATTGACGTCACGTACAATCACGGCTAAAGTCAGCGGTATGCTGACGCCGGAAAGACTCTGGAGGCAGGAGGACTGGATTTGCCACAGGTAGCCCAAGCACTGCACTTGTCGGCTTTTCTCTGAATGTCTTGTGGGGAAAAACGAAAAATTCAATAAAAGTAGGAAATCTTTATGAAATGAATTCAAACTCACACAATATGTTTTTCTTAATTTATTACACATCTATGCGAAGTTTCAGCTCTCTGAGGAAGTCAAAAAAACTGCTTTTCTTCTTAATGTTGGTCACCTAGATAATAAATACTACTACCTATTATTTTCACAGGTAGCCCAAGCACTGGACTTGGCAGTGAAGAACGAAAAGTTCGAAAAAAGTGGTAAAACTGAATAAAATTATTCAAAACTACAACATAGTGTTCTAATCTTCTTATTTTTCTCAACACCCCTGTGAAGTTTCAGCTCACTATTATTTTTATTATTTTTATTATTATTTATTATAATATATATAAGTAGGGGAAAGTTTACCATAATGAGCTGAAACTTCACAGGGGCGTTGAGAAAAATAAGAAGAACACTATGTTGTAGTTTGAAATAATTTTATTCAGTTTTACCACTTTTATCGAACTTTTCGTTCTTCACTGCTAAGTCCAGTGCTTGGGCTACCTGTGTTAATTTCCGTCGCAAATTATGCAAATGAGGTCAATTTTGTTTTCTGCTTTTAGAGCATTAAAATGATAAAAAAGAAGAAGGTTTAGCACACAACTTAGTTTAGGAACGGCATTGACACCTTTTTAAAAATACAAATGTGTGAAAACATGTGTGTTTATGCGATAAAAGTATGATTTTCTTGACTCTGGGTGATTGATTTGCGACCAGGCCTGTATATGAATTCGCCAAGGTTGTAAGCCAGTGAGCCCGTGCATTTTTGTTAAGCGGTCATATTTGAAAGTGTAAATAAAGAAAGGGAAAACCCGCATCTCGCCTTTCATTCAGACAAACAGTACAAGTCGTGTTAAATTTATTTACATAACTAAACAAAATGATTATAGAATTAAACCTTTAAGAATTGAATGCTCATATGAAACATTTTCCACCTTAAATACAC